GGGTTCTCAGAGAGAGTGTCTGTGTTGGGCAGGGCTGTGAGCTGACAGGAAGAAGGTCAGGCAGCAGCCTGGTCTCTTGGGAGAGTTAGCACAAGAGACTGGCTCTCCAGGCTGGGTTAGTTACCAGGAAGAACTCGAGGGACCTTCGATGCCCGCTTGACCTCTCAGGGCGGGCTAGTTTCCAGGCGAGCTCCTTTTACCCAGTCACACCCAGCTGCAGCCTATCTCTTGCCTCACCCTCCATTGCTTTTACCCATAAACTCTTACCTACAGATTACTCACCCTTTAGAACTAAGACTTACATTAACCCTTCCATCACCAACTGCTAAGGCTGCCACCACCAACCACCACCACGTCATCATCATCATCATCAACATGATTCATGACAGGCGGCTTTGATGGATTACTTTGATGGGAGGATTCCTTAGAGAAGATGCTCATTTTGTTGAAATTCATTGCCTTGGTCACTGCAAAGACATTCCTAGGACCCTGCATTATTATTATTATTATTATTATTAATAATAATAATAATAATGGCAAAAAAAGCCAATGGGATTTTGTCCTGCATCAATAGGAGCCTAGTGTCTAGATCTAGGGAAGTAATGCTACCCCTCTATTCTGCCTTGGTTAGACCACACCTGGAATATTGTGTCCAATTCTGGGCACCACAATTCAAGAGAGATATTGACAAGCTGGAATGTGTCCAGAGGAGGGCGACTAAAATGATCAAGGGTCTGGAGAACAAGCCCTATGAGGAGCGGCTTAAGGAGCTGGGCATGTTTAGCCTGAAGAAGAGAAGGCTGAGAGGAGATATGATAGCCATGGATAAATATGTGAGGGGAAGCCACAGGGAGGAGGAGGGAGCAAGCTTCCTTTCTGCTTCCTTGGAGACTAGGACGCAATGGAACCATGGCTTCAAACTACAAGAGAGGAGATTCCATCTGAACATGAGGAAGAACTTCCTGACTGTGAGAGCCGTTCAGCAGTGGAACTCTCTGCCCCGGAGTGTGGTGGAGGCTCCTTCTTTGGAAGCTTTTAAGCAGAGGCTGGATGGCCATCTGTCAGGGGTGATTTGAATGCAATATTCCTGCTTCTTGGCAGAATGGGGTTGGACTGGATGGCCCAGGAGGTCTCTTCCAACTCTTTGATTCTATGATTCTATGATTATTATTATTATTATTATTATTATTTACAGTATTTATATGCCGCTTTTCTCACTCCTGTGTCCCTCTATCTCTCCTTAAGCTGCTGGAAATCCTCCCTTGCAAGAGGACAAGGAAGGGAAGAGGGAAGTGGGCAAAAGTGACAGAGGTTGACGGGAGAAACAAGCCTCAATGTAGTTTTGAATTGGATGAGTGGGGGGGGGGGCAGGGTTTTGGTTGGCTGCAGGATTCCTTGGGGGAAAGGCCGGAAATGTGATGGCAGCAGGTGTTTACTTTGGGATGCTCAGGAATCAGACCTTGGGCGCATTGTGGGATGGGAGGCGGAGAATATTATCTTTGTGCCCCTCAGCACTGAGCACATCCTGGTCATTCAGAAACCCATTGTCTAGTGAATTATGTATTTATTTACTTGCTTACTTGATTTGTATACCGCTCCTCTCAGCCCTTAGGCGACTCAGAGCGGTTAACAGCAACAGTTTCAGTATACAAAGTACAAGGTTATTGGGTATTTAAAAGCAATCACATAACAAGTTAATTAACAGTAAACATCAATACAACAATATATCAATACAACAATATAACAAATCAATCAGATCTCATAACTAGAATCAGAATCCGGTCTCGTTATCCATTGTCGTTATCCATGTTCTGCTAAACAATCAATTGCACTGCTAGTCAAATGCCTGTTCAAACAGCCAGGTCTTCACTTTCCTCCGGAATGTCAGTAAGGAGGGGGCCGATCTGATGTCTGCAGGGAGGGCGTTCCACAGCCGAGGGGCCACCACTGAGAAGGCCCTGTCTCTCGTCCCCACCAGGCGTGCTTGTGAAGCTGGTGGGACTGAGAGCAGGGCCTCCCCAGACGATCTTAATGTCCTAGCTGGTTCATAGGAGGAGATGCGTTCGGACAGGTAGATCGGGCCAGAACCGTTTAGGGCTTTAAAGGCTAAAGCCAGCACTTTGAATTGTGCCCGGTAGCAAATTGGCAGCCAGTGGAGCTGGCGCAACAGAGGAGTGGTGTGCTCCCTGAGTGCCGCTCCTGTTAACATCCTGGCTGCCGATCGTTGGACCATTTGAAGCTTCCGAGCAGTCTTCAGAGGCAACCCCACGTAGAGAGTGTTGCAGTAGTCTATACAGGATGTGACTAGAGCGTGGACTACCGTGGCCAAGTCAGACTTCCCAAGGTACGGGCGCAGCTTTCCTTGAATATTGGAAAGAACAATTCCTTTCTGGCTGCATCCCTTCTGGTCCTTTAGCCATATTTGTCATTCCTTCTTTTCTTCCTCCCTCCCTCCTTCTCCCTTTTTTTTCTTCGGGATTCCTTCCCTTCTTTTGTAAGAACCAGAGATTGCCTTTGCTGGGATCTGTGTTTGCGCTTGAGACCCTGATGTCTGCATAAAGGGAAAGGTTTCTGACTCATTCTTGATTTTTATTCTTGACCAGGGAAATGAGGATTCTGTGGAGAGACCTCTTGGGTGAAGTAAGGAAACTGATCCTACAGGAAGAATAAATCCTCTCAATGTGCGAATCTTGCTGAAATTCTTGATCGCACAGAAAAAAGAAGAGTCAAGTATCCGTATTGCAATTAAACAGATATATCATTGCTGACATGGAGGAGAAAGCATCTAAATGCCTGGAGCGTGAAAAGAGTTTCACTCGGAGGGATCTTCTGCCGCAACATGAAAGGGGGGCTCACACCGGGAACAAACCCTATACTTGCCTGGAGTGTGGAAAGAGCTTCACTCACCGTGGAAATCTACGTAGACATCAAAGGACTCACACTGGGGAGAAACCCTTTAAATGCCTGGAGTGTGGACAGAGCTTTGCTCACAGTGGAAGTCTACGTAGGCATCAAAGGACTCACACTGGGGAGAAACCTTATCCATGCCTGGAGTGTGGACTGAGCTTCACTGAGAGTGGAAGTCTACGTTCCCATCAAAGGACTCACACTGGAGAGAAACCCTATACATGCCCGGAGTGTGGACTGAGCTTCACTCAGAGTTCAACTCTACATAGACATCAAAGGACTCACATTGGGGAGAAACCCTATACATGCCTGCATTGTGGGCAGAGATTCAGTCGGAGTTCCCATCTACATTCACATCAAAGGACCCACACTGGGGAGAAACCCTATACATGCCTGGAGTGTAGACAAAGCTTCACTGAGAGTGGAAGTCTACGTTCCCATCAAAGGATTCATACCGGGGAGAAACTTTATACATGCCTGGAGTGTGGGCAGAGCTTCACTGAGAGTGGAAGTCTATGTTCCCATCAAAGGACTCACACCGGGGAGAAACCCTATACATGCCTGGAGTGTGGAAAGAGCTTCACTAAGAGTGGAAATCTACGTTCCCATCAAAGGATTCATACCGGGGAGAAACCTTATACATGCCTGGAGTGTGGAAAGAGCTTCACTCAGAGTGGAAGTCTACGTTCCCATCAAAGGACTCACACTGGAGAGAAACCCTATGCATGCCTGGAGTGTGGAAAGAGCTTCAATCATAGTTCAAGTCTGCATAAACATCAAAGGATTCACAGTGGGGAGAAACCTTATAAATGCCTGGAGTGTGGAAAGAGCTTCACTCACAGTTCAGGTCTACGTTCACATCAAAGGATTCACACTGGGGAGAAACCCTATACATGCCTGGAGTGTGGACAGAGCTTCACTCACAGTTCAGGTCCACGTTCACATCAAAGGATGCATGCTGGGGAGAAACCCTATAAATGCCTGGAGTGTGGAAAGAGCTTTACGCATAATTCTGGTCTGCGTTCACATCAAAGGACACACACTGGGGAGAAACCCATAAATGCCTAGAGTGCAAAAAGAGCTTCACTCAGAGCTCAGGTCTACGTACACATCAAAGGACTCACACAGGGGAGAAACCTTATAAATGCCTGGACTGTGAACAGAACTTTGCTGACAGTGGAGCTCTACAAAAATGTCAAAGGACTCACACAGGGGAGAAACCCTATAAGTGCCTGGAGTGCGGAAAGAGCTTCAGTCAGAGTTCCCATCTGCATTCATATCAAAGGACCCACACCGGGGAGAAACCCTATACATGTCTAGAGTGTAGACAAAGCTTCACTGAGAGTGGAAGTCTACGTTCCCATCAAAGGACTCACACTGGGGAGAAACCCTATAAATGCCTGGAGTGTGGGATCAGCTACACTCAGTTCACATCTCCGTAGACATTATAGAATTCACACTGGAGAGGACAATGGTACTTGCCCACAGAGAATCTCCTAGACAGAGCTGTCCACTTTTTTTCGACATGTAACCTTTTGTGACATGATAATTCAGCCTAACTAGCAAACTGCAAGTTGAACCAACCCCATATACGATTTTCAAACAACATAATATGATTAATATATAGAGATAAGTTCCATATAATCTTTACTGTATAACCAATTATTGTGTAGTTTTCTCTTTAGGTGCTTTATGTGGTTGAGCACAAACATCGCTGTGAACAGATATTATTTTCTTAATTAGAAACTTATCCATTTTAGTGATAATTACTGCAACATGCTCTCCATGCTCTATTCCGCCTTGGTTAGACCACACCTGGAATATTGTGTCCAATTCTGGGCAACACAATTCAAGAGAGAGATTGACAAGCTGGAATGTGTCCAGAGGAGGGCGACTAAAATGATCAAGGGTCTGGAGAACAAGCCCTATGAGGAGCGGCTTAAGGAGCTGGGCATGTTGAGCCTCTTGCTGAGGTGTAGAATGACTTTCTTTTTGTGAGAGGACAAAGAAGGCATTAAGTAGTTCTGCCTTCTTTCCTGTCCCCTGTCGGTATTTCCCTGACTTCTCCTTGCAGAGGCCCCATCGCCTCCCTGTTCTTCCTTTTTCTACTGACGTAAATAACAAAAGTTAGAACAGAACCTACACTTGAACACTTTGGGGGCCTCTCCCAACCCCAATGAAGTAAAGGCTACCTGGGAGTCTAGAGTCCCTTCTGGAGGTTTTTGAGCTGAGGTCGGATGGCTGTCCTTTGGGGTGCCTTCCTGCCTGGCTGAAGGGGGCTGGATGGGATGCCCTTTGGAGAGGCCTCTTCCCGTGGGGGCCACGGGGTCCTTTTCCATGTGGCGTGCCTGTGGGGGAAGTCGTTGTCCCTGTTGGAAATCAACCCCACACTGTCCAAGTCTGCAGTCCTCAATGAGGAACACTTAGCTTTAGAACAGGCTGAGAAATCCCTTCCCGCCTGACTCCTGAATGTCAGTTGGAATGTATTTGTTCTCCCTCTTCCTTCCTTCCTTCCTTCCTTCCTTCCTTCCTTCCTTCCTTCCTTCCTTCCTTCCTTCCTTCCTTCCTTCCTTCCTTCCTTCCCCACTTTTCTACCTGAAACGTCCTGGTTTACTTCTGCTTTTTCCATCTTAACACTCAGACCTCTCTCTGCTTTGATGTGTTTGAAAAGGTGTAGGTTTGATGAGATGGGAGTTTTCTCTTTTGACACTTAGAAGAGATGGAGTTGGAGAGAAGAGATGGAGCTAGAGAGAAGACATGGAGTTAGAAAGGAGAAATGGAGTTAGAAGAAATGGAGCTAGAGGGAAAATTTGGAGTTAGAAAAGATGGAGTTAGAGAGAAGAAATGGAGTTAAAGAGGAGAGATGGAGCAGGAGAGAAGAGATGGAGCTGGAGAGAAGAGATGGAGCTGGAGAGAAGAGATGGAGCTGGAGAGAAGAGATGGAGTTAGAAGAGATGAAGCTCAGGCCCCGTCTTGTTCTACCAAGGAATGTCCTTCTTTGTTTTTGCAAATAAATCTTTTGAAACTGGAAAGACTGAACTCTGCCTCTTGGCCTCCGAAGAATTCTGTTGCCGCCACCCTTGGCCTTCGCCTTCTTCTTCTTCTTCTTGTTCTTCTGCGTGCTGTGCGCTGAGGGCTCATTGGGCATCCTGTTGACCCGTTTTCCCCAGCATCATTCCCTTCTCTAGGCTTTGCTGTCTCCTCATGATGTGGCATTCAAAGGACTTCCACTTTGCCTCTCGTCTCCTTCTCTAGTATCCTTGACAATTAGAGAAGGCAATGATGCTGGGGAAAGTGGAAGGCAAAAGGAAGAGGGGCCGACCAAGGGCAAGATGGATGGATGGTATCCTTGAAGTGACTGGACTGACCTTGAAGGAGATCCTGGGGGTGGTGACGGCCGACAGGGAGCTCTGGCGTGGGCTGGTCCATGAGGTCATGAAGAGTCGGAGACGACTGAACGAATGAACAACAACAAAGAATTATAGAAATGAAGATCTGTGATAACTGTGTGCACTCCCCCAATGCTCCCCAGAAATGGCCGAGGGGAGCCCCCCCCCCCCCGCTCTCCCAGGGGTCCCCTGACTCTTCCAAGGGTCTCCCGAGGGCCGGGTCTTGGCGGTGTGTCCGCAAATGACTGTGGAGGCCTCTTCTGGATCCGCATGCCCTTTCTATCCCAAGAGAACGTACACTTCCAGGTGGGAGATTTGCTTGAGGAGCCTTCCCCCTCTCGGCCCGTTTCTCCCTTTCGCATCCCTTAGTTCCTCTTCAAAATCCGCAGCACTGCTGGCCACAGCTGGCCTCCAGTTAGACGCTCTAGGGGCCAGGGCTTCTCTGTTCTCTCTCGGTGTATATATCACAATTGTATGGCTTGCTTTGAGCCCTTCTTTCGGTCTCTTTTTGTTCTCCACCAGTATTGGAAACACGTGTTGTTAAAAGATATTTCTCTCCCAGCTGCAAGTTAAAGATCTGCCAAATAGAGAAAACTTGACAGGTGAATCTGTCAAAAGCTGAAAGCTTGTTGAGCTGAAGTGTGTTCCTATTCTGTAGAAAGACTGCTTTTGATTCCACGTTAATCCGTGACTCAGAGCTCTGGACATCATGGGAATTGTAGTTAACCTTCTCTGAAACACAACAACTACACAATCCAGAGCACTGAGCCCGGGCAGCGGTGGTGGAGCCACTTGGCAGTCACTCCACCGTGAACGTGTGTCCCAGGCCAGGGAGGCATTTCAGAAGGGGGGGGGGGCTTTTAGAGACCCCTTGAAAAATAATCCTGGGAACAGGATTTGGGGAGGCCACACTGATAAGCCCATGCTTTTGTTGAATGCACACGGGAAGAGCGATTTATCTGCTTCCCCTTTTCAGGCTGTTTTGCCCGTGGCTTTGATGGGAGGGTTACTCAGAGCAGGTGCCCATGATATATATTGAAATTTATTGTGTTGGCCACTGCAGAGACATTCCTGGGACCCTCCATGGAGAGCCTGTGTCTTTCTCTCTCTCTGCCCTAAGACACCCCCCTTCCCGCCCTCCGTTCTGCCCCACCACCTTGGCATCAGAAATAAAGACAGATGACAGATAGGCCAGCGAGGCCGTGAGGGATAAAGGAAACACACACACACACACACACACAATGCAGGACAGTAGGATGCTAACTCTGCACATTGTATATTTCTTTGCAGCCACCAATTCATTATTAAAGTTCCTTTTGCTGGCACCATTTATCGATTGCTGGGCCCCCTCCTTCACTACAATGCTCAAGAAGACACACACACTTTTCAGGTGAAACAAAGCAAGAATATGTTTGTTTATTTGGTTTCTGAACAGTAAAGATACGTAGTGGTTTCAATCATCTATCAGGCTTTCCTTGTACAGAGAATGGTCTTACAAGTTAAGTTTCTTAAAAGCTATGTTCCACACACAGGAATACAAACAGGATATTTTGAACCTTTTGAATCCTCTTCCCACACCAGCACTCTAATCACTATAGAGGCCTACTATATTTCCTGCTCCTTCTCCCTGAAGGCTTTAATTATTTTCCTCAAAGAGGTAACTTACGAAATAACAGTTCCCAAAACCCTCCCTCCTTCCTTCCGTTCTTCCCCTTCAGATCTCCTCATTCACTCTTCTAACTCCCAGCTCCAAACCAAACTGAACTCTGGCTGCGTTCGCTCCCTTCTTTCCCTCTGGCTCTGACCATCGCTGGTTGCTAAGCAAAGCCTGGTTCAGAGGAAGAAGGGGGTGGGCTTCTTGGGGGTTGGGCCCCCATTTTGGATGGAAGGAAGTGGCAGTGAAGGCGAAGAGGAGAGAGAGAGTGAGGTGAGAGGCAGGGCCTGAGACGGGGTAGGGAGGGGGGGCCTTCCTTCATCCTCGGGCCGCTGAGCAGTCAGAACTGCCTCCCGGTGTGCCTCCTTGCACCACCCTGCCTCCTCCTCCTCCTCCTCCTCTCCCTTCGCCTTCCTTCCTCCTCCTCTGCCCCTCCTCCCTCTTCTTTTTCCACCCCATCCAATCCCTCCCTGCAGACGCCCTTCCTCAACGTGGCTGTGCATTAGTTGGGTGGGAAGGCAGGGTCTTGGTTGACTGCAGAATTCCTTTAGGAAAAGACAGGAAATTTGATGTGTTTGCGCTTGAGACCCTGATGTCTGCATAAAGGGAAAAGCACATTATTTTAGGGTTCGTGCAATTAATTCCTTCCCCAATCCGGATCCCCCCCCCCCCAATAATTTCCATTGCCCAATCTCCCAGGGTTTTAACATTTTAAATTTTAATCCTTAAATTTGGCCTTGCCCGTGCAGTTTCTATGTCTTTAATGTCCGATTTTATACTGTTGTCTCGCTTATTAGTTAGGTTTTGCATTTTATGTTTTTTAGTTCTGTTATGCTTTGTGTTGTATTGTGTTTATTGTATTGATGGGCGTGGCATCATGTAAGCTGCCCTGAGTCCCCCGGGGGGGGAGGGGGGGATGGAGCGGGGTATAAATGAAGATTGCTGGGATCTGTGCTTGCGCTTGAGACCCCGATGCCTGCATGAAGGGAAAGGCTCCTGACTTTCCCTCTTGACCTTTTCTTCTTGACCAGGGAAATGAGGATTCTGAGGAGCCACCTCTGGGGTGCAGTGAGGAAACCGATCATACGGGAAGAATAAATACTG